CCATCAATGGACTGTGGGCTGGGGGACCAATGCTGATTCAAGGGGAAAGAAGCTGGGCAAGGTGCAAAGATGAGATGATCCTGGAGCTAGGAGGGAGAGCTAAGTCACTGAGGGGGCAGAGGTGAGGTCCAAGCTGGGAGATACAGCAGGAGGGCATGACAGTGCACTTGGGCTTACCCAAAAAGGCCCTGAGATGGTCCTGGAAGGAGTAAAGAGCTGACAGAGGGTTATGCAGTCACACAATAAAAGAACAGAAGAGAGATGTAGGGGCTTCTGCCCCTCTGATGCCCAGTACTGAGAAGGAGCCTGGTGAGGACACTTACTAAGAAAAACAGCCATCTCTGAACATTCTCCCTCATGCCACAATTCTAGCTCTGTTTTTTGTTTTTTCAGAATGGAGTTGAAACTCCTCTCTTCACAACATAAGATTTTTTTAAAGAGAGATTTTTGCTATAGGAAGTGTATGCTCACTGGAAAGACAGAGAGACAGAAAGCAACAAATCAACCTCCAGGGGGATGGTCACACCACAATCCCTTCTCCTTGATTCTCCTCTTGGGATTTTGGGCATGCAAGTACAAGTGCCTGGCATGAGTTTTAAGCCACAGGTCTAGGACTCAAACCACTGTCAAGTACGTGGGAGTCTATTGACATAACCATTATGCCATTTGCTGGTCCCTACAGCATAAGCTTTTAAAAACCCAGTACCTTCCCCCCTTCCCCCACCATCCTTCTGAGTTGCATGGACTACTTAGAACCTAAGTGGAACTGACTTCCCCACTGCCCTCACCATGGTTTATTCTATGCTTGCACTTCAGAAATCAGCACAGTCACAGGTGATTTTTAGTATTACACAACCAGAGTGACGTTTTATGCATGAGACTGTAAGGCCATGTGATGGCACAGTGGTAACACAACTGAACCTTCATGGGAAAGTCTTGGGTTCGTATCCCAGGATCTCCCTGAGTATGCTTGGTGCACATGCATGTCTGTGACCCAGGCTGAAGGTGGACTGTAGTGTGAAGACCCTGGTAGGGATGATTTTCTCTCTTTACCTCTCTTATCTTTCTCATGGAAGAAAACATAAACTTTTTTTTAAAAAATGAGCCTGTAATTGACAATGTATTAAGTTTAGGTTCATTGAGAAGGTTGTGCAAGGGACCAGCAGCTGGCATAATGGCTATGTCGCTGGGCTCCCATGTAGTTGACCCCAGACCCAGTGGCTTAAACTCACGCTGGGCACATATGCATGCATGCCCAAGATCCTGAGAGGAGAATGGAGGAGAAGGAATTGTGGTGTGGCCATCCCCTCTGGGGGGTGATTTCTTGCTTTTTGTCTCTATGTCTCTCTGCCTTTCTGGTGAATGCATGCACCCTATAGCAAAAAACTCTCCCAAAAAGAGAGAGAGAGAGAGAAGGCTGTGTAGCCTCAGGCATTTCAGAAAAATGCACAGTTATGCACACAGCTAGACAGAGTTGTGTAGAGTCTTCTTAGTGAGATCCAGTATCAGACCTGTACTCTAATACAGGAATACCTACCATGGGCAGACATGCTGAGCCTTTTAATACAATCTGAAAATTATTTCCTAGAAAACTGCTATTTTTGCAAGAGGAAAGCTATGCAGCCAGCCCTTGGCATTTCTATCAGGTATCTTCTGTATATACTGATTTTGTTAAAGAAATCTCTATAACATTTCCAAGAGGAAAAAGTCCACGATCAAGAATAAATACACAAGTTTTTTTTTATGCCAAACCACCTCCAAGCCTGTTATAAAACCCCAGAAACATTGCAGCTGGACCTTAAACTCTGTGCCCAAGGAGTTGCCTCTAGTTTGACTCAAGAGAAACAAGCGACCTACCCAGAATGAGTACCCTCCAGTTCCTCACCTAATGGGCTCTGTGAGGGCCAGTAAGAGTAGCTTGCTTATAAAACAAGCATTGCTTCTGTGTGACATCACCAAGGGCATTGTTAACCCATTGGGATTCTAGCTTCTTAGAATATTTCAAAAGTTCCAGGGGCCTATAAACCAGTCAGTAGCCCACAGAGGACCCCAGGGGTCAACATGAAAGAGGTGATCACTGTGAGGATGACGACTTCAGCTTTTTCCTTGAGCTTTGGCTAGGGGAAAGGCCAGAGTTGGGGGTGGAAGCTGTCATTTTCCTCAAAGACTGCCATGACAGAGGAGGTCTACCAAGGACTGCATGTTAAGGGCACATCCAAAATGCTGTTTCCCTCATGGAAACAGGGTCAGAGGCCTTCTTGGAGATGGTGGAGCTAAACCCCCACTCAACAGATGAGAGAGCTGAGGCCAAGAGAGAGGAGCAGGAACTCACCCATAATAGACCTATTGATTACAGAGCAGGACGGGAATAAACTTGAAAGATTCTCATGTTGGAAAGGTCTTTTGATGGTGGGTGGGGGAGGCAGAATTGGGAACTGCTGGTAACTTCCTTGGCTGAATCTGGCCCTGGAAGCTGGGTGGGAGTTGCACAGGGATGGAGGCACCTGATAGAGAGAGGGACTGAGCAAGCAGCGTGGTTTTGCAGGATAGTAGTAGCAGCAGCAGCAGCAAAGTGGGAGTGGCCCAGTAAATACTGACTAGGTGCTAGGTTCTACTCAAAGCACTTTTCTTTCTTTTTTTTTTTTTGGAGAGGTTTCTTTTGCTATAGGGCGCGTGCGCTCGCCAGACAGACAGAGACATAGAGACAGAAAGCGAGAAATCACCCCCCATGGGGGATGGTCATGCCGCAATCCCTTCTCCTCCATTCTCCTCTCGGGATCTTAGGCACGCACGCACACGCATCCTGCGTGAGTTTTAAGCCACCGGGTCTGGGACGCGAACTGCGGTCGACTACGTGGGAGTCCAGCGACGTAGTCATTACGCTAACTGCTGGTTCCCTCAAAGCACTTTTCTTGAATTAACTCATTTTGTCCTTCCAAGAAAGCTATCAGACAGATATTGAATAATGAGAACAGAGGTGTCCCCCAACTGCCTCAGAGAGTCTGCCTCCAGAGAGCCTTGCCTGGTTTCTTTTACCCCACATCCTCCTCTCTCCAGCTGGCTCTCCTCAGTACTTGGTCCCTGTCCCTCTTCTTACACCAGGTCCCAACATAAGAGGTTGGGTTTCCTGATGTGCACCCAAAAATTACAGTTACTTTATTTCTAAGTAATCAGAGCAGTAAATGTGTTGTTGAAAGGTCATGCCCCCCCACCTCTGATCCATAGGAATTGGATCTGTGCAGAATGTTTGACCATCATCCAGCACACTGCATGGTGCTTAATAGGCATGCAGTACATATCTGTGGAAGGAAGTCAGAGAAAGAGAAGAGATGGCAGGGAAATGAGCTTGAATCTGAAAATATCTGAAGAAAGAATATCTGTACCACAGATTATTTGTAAGGATTGATGAAAAATATATGCAAAGCATTTAACATCACAATGCTTAGTACAGGGTAGGAACTCAACAATGTTGAGTTGTTGCTGATATAGTGTACTATTACATTCCTGATAGGAAAATATCTAGAATTCAGCTTTGTAAACCCAATGTCAAATTTTTAAAAAGAATGGTTTATTTAATTTCATTTATCATTATTATTATTATTATTTTAATTTGCTATAGGGCATAAGCTCTCACCAGAGAGAGAGAGAAATTAAGAAAGCAAGCCACCAGGTCCAGGACTTGAACCATGGTCAGCCATGTGGAATTCCAGTATCTTAACCACCAGGCCACCTGTTGCCCCCCTACAAATGTCTATTTCTAATAAACACTAATATGTTTTAGCCACCTCACCTACAGAGACCTCAGTACTCCCAATGACCTTACCCTGTCCTCTTCCCTGGGTGCAGATCACTGGCTTAGAGATAGCACTTTTAGGCTGGAATGTATCTTGCTGCCATTTTATTGCTGTTTTTTAGCTGGTTTAATTGATTTTATTTAAAACTAAATATTCCAGATTCTCAAGATTCCCCCAGAGGTAAAAATAGCTTCACAGCATTGCTGACTAAGCCACAAGGACACGGACACACCTGGGTGACTCCTCCTGGAGGCTCTGCTAGGCTTCAGCTGTTGGTTCTGTCATACTAGATTATGATCCCTCTGTGTGGGGTTTGGTGCACAGCAGAAACTTAGAGTACTATGATAGATTGATTATATGGGACAAACATTGAAAGACAAGAGGCAGAAAAGTTACATGCCATTCACTCAGAACATCAGTGAATGAGCTCGACAGAAATCAGTGTTTTCTGTGGCCTACATCATACACTGGCCTTTGGCCCCTCCCCCGACCTTCACCTTTTCCTTTCTGAATTATTCCACAAAGGACTTAGCATATTTAAACCAACTTATATTAAGGTGCAGAATTGCACCTTAATTGAGAAAAATAATTGCACTTAGGGAAAAGAACCCCAACTCCAAATTGTGTATCTTGAGACAAAGATTAAGGTGAGATCATCTGTAAAGGGAGGGTACAACCAGCTACCAGAAGCATCTCACTCTGTCCGACCTATACTTTCACACAGATACCTCCAGTAAAGCCAGAGAAAGGCAACATACAGAGACTCTACTGCTCTATTGCAGCAGAGGTGTAATCTAATGGGAAAAAAGAAACAGAGAAGCATGGGGAGAATGAGATGTGAATTAGAGAAAGTCAAACACCTCTGTAGGCTCCCACAGTCCTGCTGGAGACACAGGCCCTATGGGACACTGAAGTTTCTATTTCAGGCACTTCAGGCTCCAATTATGATGACGTTAATGGTACATTAAGGCCTTATCCTACCCAGGAATCTGTCTTTCTGAAAATCCTAGATAAGGAGCATTTAAGTTTATTTTCATTCTAGACCATAGAGGTGATTAAGCCAAAGAACCTGTCCCAAGTGAAGACTATTTTGTTGAATCACACACTCTGGGAACCTGCACTTTCATTTGCAGCTTGAGTTTTATCATCCAGAGTGACAGATCACAAGCAAAACAATCTCTGAAAGCCCCACTCCCACCAGGCTCCTCATAATGCAGGAGTCCTTGCGAAGAGCTTCTGGAGTGCAGCTCTGACATCCTTGTTCCTGAGTGTGTAGATCAGCGGATTCAGGGCTGGACTGACCAGACTATAAAGCACAGCAATAGACTTCGCCTTCTCAGGGCTGTAGCTGGCACTGGGACTGATGTAGGCACAGAACACAGCCGAATAGTACATGGAGACCACGATGAGGTGGGCAGAGCAAGTGGAGAAGGCCCGCTGTTTGCCCTCAGCTGAGCGAATCCGCAGTATGCTGGCAATGACGCAGCCGTAGGACACTAGAGTTAGCAGGAAGTTGGTGCCCCCTAGGGACAAGTCTGTTACCAGGGTCATGAGCTCATTCACCTGAGTAGGGGAGCAAGACAGAAGCAGGATAGGAGGAATCTCACAAAAGAAGTGGTTGATGGTGTTGGGACCACAAAAGGACAGCCGAGCAAGCATTGCAGTGTGCAGTATGGAATCCAGCATGCCCACCACCCAGATCCCTGACACCAGCATCCCGCAGGCCCATGGGCTCATCCTGGAGCTGTAGTGCAGTGGATGGCAGATGGCCACATAGCGGTCATAGGCCATGACCGTGAACAGCAGCAGCTCAGAGCCTAAGGTCCAGGAGAAGACGAAGACCTGGGTCATGCAGGCAGGAAAGGAGATGGTGCTTGCTCCCATGGCTAGGGCCTCCAGCAGTGTGGGCACTGCCGTGCTGGAACCCACCATGTCCAGCAGTGCCAAGTTCACCAGGAAGATGTACATGGGCATGTGAAGCCCTGGGTTGGCCCACACCACTGCAGTGATGAGCAAGTTGCCCACAAGGGCCAGCAAGTACAGGGCCAAAAAGAGACAGAAAAGGAAGCCATGGGCCCGAGTGTATTCAGAGAAACCCTGGAGGACAAATTCAGAAACTGATGTGTGATTCCTCCATGGCAGGTGCAGCTGGAAGTCCTCCCAAGCATGGACCAGTGCTGATGCCATATGGGTAGCAAGGCTTTCCCAGAGCTTTCGTGGGACAGAACACACAGTCACAAATGGAATTCACATGCAAGGAGAATCTCAACCTAAAACAGTTTGGAAAAATGGGATATGTTGTCTTTGTTGTTACAAAAGCAACTGTATACTCATCATACAAATATCAGGAAGTATAGGAAAAAAAGAGAAAAAGAACATCTTATGTCTTTCTCCTACCAGAAAAATGAAACTTGTAATTAATAAAATCCTTTGTAATATGTCCATCCAAATGCCTTTTTAAAGGGAAGATATCGTTTTTGGTGTTAGTAATCTCATTTTTCACTTAGCATATTAAAGACTCCTGTCACAGTATCAGTCATATTTATAAAACATCATGGGTGGAGTCAGCAAGTAGTATAGTGATTAAAGCACTGAACTCCCACATGGCCAATCACAGTTTGAATCCTGGGCCTGGCAGCTTGCTTTCTAACTTTCCCTCTGTGTGTGTGCATGTGTGTGTGTGTGTGTGTGTGTGTGTGTGTGTCTGTCTGTCTGTCTGTCTGTCTGTCTCTGGTGAGTGTATATGCCCTGAAGCAAACCTAAAAAAAAATAATAACAAAATTAAATGGACAATTCTTTAAAGAAAAATATGATACATTTCTGAAAATAATCTATCGCATATGCACCATAATTTAATTAGAATATAATTGTTGTTTTTTAGCTTTTCAGCAAAGAAACTTCTTACAGCTAAATTTGGTACACATTGCCTCCAACACAATTTGCGAGGTACAGGTGGGATTTTGTGCTATACACTAAAATATTTTTTTCATTATTTAGAGAATACTTTACTAGTTTCCATAATCAAACCCAGGTAAATAAAACCTTACAAATTTAATACAGTGTGTTACTCCAGTACAAATGGAAAAAAATTAAGTTTAACTTTTCTAAACCAATATGACTGTTAATTTCTGTACAACACCAACTCAACACAGTGAACTGGGATACTTTTTCCAAAGCTGACAGCACAGCTAAAGTTTCCAAAAATTTTAACCATATATATATATATATATCTGTATATAATAAGAGTATGTTATGCATCAATAGCAGCAACAGCTTTTCTAGGTTCTGCAGTCATCTGAACAAAATTATAGAGACATCCAGCACATTCTACTCAAAAAAAAAAAAAAAAGGAAAAATACAATAAAACAAAAAAAAATCTCCCAGAAAACAGAAAAGTTCTGTTATTGTTGTAGTACCCGGAACCATTTTTAAAAATTCATTTTAAAAAAATTAGCTTCTATTTAGAAGAAAAATAGGGAGGCAAAGCATTAATGGGACAAAGAAATGTGGTATTATCTGTTGAAGATATTTTATAGTTTAACCAACTGGACTAGGGAGAAATGTTCACACAGTGAAATATTAACTTTGTAAGCTAAATAAGGTAATTGAATGTATAATAAACAATGAAATAAAAAAAGGAAAAAATGGAAAATAAAACACAATCCCTGTCAAAAAACATTAGCTTCTAAATCATATGGAAAGAAAACATTCTACAACAACAACATTAAAAACTGCTCTGATAAAATAGAAAATAGGAAATAACTATAGAAATAAAATAAATAAAATAGAAAATAACTATACAGAAAATAAATTAAAGTAAAAGCTGATTCTTTGAAAAGATAAAAGCAATACACCACTAGCAAGACATATTAAGAAGAAAGAGCAGTTAGCATAATGGCTATGTCGCTGGACTCCCATGTAGTCGACCGTGGTTCGAGTCCTGGACCCGGCGGCTTAAACTCAGTCCAGGCATGTGTGCATGCGTGCCCAAGATTCCGAGAGGAGAATGGAAGAGAAGGGATTGTGGCGTGGTCATCTCCCCTGGAGGGTGATTTCTCACTTTCTGTTTCTTTATCTCTCTCTGTCTTTCTGGTGAGTGCATGTACCTTATAGCAAAAACCTTTCCAAAAAAAAAAAAGAGAGAGAAAACCTAAAAAAAAAAGAGAGAGAGAGTAAAAAGGAAGAAGAGAGAAAGGAACCAGGTGAATTAAATCTGCATTGAAGCAGGCAATATAACAATAGACAAAGTAGAAATACAAAACATCATTAGAGGTTACTAGGAACAACTATATGCCAAGAAACAAGACGATCTGGATGAGATGGACAAATTTCTGGACACATATAATCTACCAAGATTGAACCAGAAAGATATAGAAAGTCTGAATAGGCCCATAACAAGACAGAAGATTGCATCAGTAATAAATAACCTTCCAACAAAGAAAAGCCCTGGCCCTGATGGCTTCACCTCTCAATTCTATAAAACTTTCAAAGAAAAGTTAACCCCCATTCTGCTCAAGTTATTTCTAAAGATCCAAAAGGGTGAATCTCTCCCTATTTCATTCTATGAAGCCTCTATCACCCTTATCCTTTAAACAGGTAAGGACAGGACAAGGAAGGAAAACTATAGAACAATATCTCTGATGAATGTAGACACAAAGATTCTCAACAAGATACTAACAAATCGTATCCAACAACTTATAAAAAAAGATTATACATCATGATCAGGTAGGCTTTATTCCAGGAATGCAAGGTTGGTTCAACATACGCAAAATGTAATACACAATATTAACAGGAAGAAAGGTAAAAACCACATGGTCCTATCAATTGATGCAGAAAAAACATTTGATAAGACACAACATCCCCTCATGATCAAGACTATCAGTAGGGACCAGCAGTTAGCATAATGGCTATGTCACTGGACTCCCATGTAGTCAACTGTGGTTCGAGTCCCAGACCCGGAAGCTTAAACTCACACCAGGCACGTGTGTGTACATGCCCAAGATCCTGAGAGGAGAATCAAGGAGAAGGGATCACGGTGTGGTCATCACCCCTGGTGGGTAATTTCTCGCTTTCTGTCTCTCTGTCTCTGTCTGTCTGGCGAGCACACGTGCCCTATAGCAAAAACCTCTAAAAACAAACAAACAAAAAAAGATGATTAACCCTATTAAAAGATGAGAGAACAAGTTGAAAAAAACACTCTCTAAAGATGACATACAAATAGCCAAAAGGAATATGAAAAAATGCTCAATATCCTTCATCGTAAGAGAGATGCAGATCAAAATAATGATGAGATACCACCTAACCCCAGTCAGAATGATTAAGATTAAAAAAACAAAAATGATAAATGCTGGGCAGGGGTGTGGTGAAAGGGGAACTCTCTTACACTGCTGGTGGGAATGTAAATTAGTCCAGCCACTGTGAAGAACAATTTGGAGATTTCTCAAAAATCTACAAATAGAACTGCCATATGATCCAGCAATCCCACTCCTTGGTTTCTACCCAAAGACAGAAGAATTCTTCATTGGAAAAGTGCTTGACCATTGATTTTTTTTTCTTCTTCTTTTTTTTCTTTTTTTTCATTTCATTTTCTTCCATACATTCAATCACATCATTATTTGTCTTGCACATTGATGATTATTGTGGTACTATTTACAATTGCTAAGACATGGGAGAAGAGGCCAGGCCTTCAGAAGAAGGTTTCACATGGCTCCAGTGAACTAGGTATTGCAGGGAATGAAGATTTTCTACTGATAATTCAGCCTCCAGCAAACGAGCTAGCGTTAGGGAACCCCACACACACACGACCAGCCTTCTATCTCTGTTTCTGTCTCTCCCTGCTTCTGTCTTCACATTTTTTTGTAATTTTTCCTTTTCACATTTTTTTTTAAAAGGCAACGTTTTTCTCTTGCTCTCAGCTCCACCTTTTATCTTGTTAATTATTGCTCTGGTCCTCCCACCCAGGCAGAAGAGACCAGGCCTTCAGAAGAAGGTTCCACATGGCTCCAGCGAACTAGGTATTTCATGCACCGCACGGTTTTCTATTTTGTGATTTAAAAAAAAAAAAAAAAAGAAAGAAAAAGAAAGAAAGAAAGAAAGAAAGAAAGAAAGAAAAACAGTGATTACATTTTTTTTCGTTTTTTTGTCTTTATTTTCTCCTTTTGTTGTTGTTTCTCTCTCTCTTTTTCATTTTCCTTTTTCTTGTCTCTCCACCCTCCAATATCCATTTAATGTGTTTTTAGATGGATCTAAGAGCACTGTAGCTAAACATTCAAATACTAATAAGGTTAAAATATTCCTCAATATCTACTGAATCTGCTGCACTAGCGATCACAACAGAACAGCAAAGAGATTCTAGATCACCTCTGTCTGCTTGCTCCT